GAGGGGGGGGATTCCTGTGCTACATTTTTCAAGTCCTACTCCAAAAGGGGTAACCAGCCCATTAGTATAGGTGCCAGGAAGCTGCTTTTGTGACATCTCACCAAACACACCTACTTTCACTGGACCATAGAAAGATCAATCCTGTCTGAAAACCACCCATTACCTAAGACACCTAATTTATATTAGAAGCTCACTAAAAGGCACTGTCTGGCCCCCAACCTTCACTGCCAGTGATAAAGAGGATGTTTTACACCATATGTGACACTTAATCAAAACCGATATTCTTTAACAAACCCTTAACCTCTAGCACACAGGAGTCATACGAGGCCAAGGGACAAGACACAGATCCAGCTCGGGGTGGCATATTCTTTGATTAAGATGATACAGATTTCTCATTTTTATCAGGGTTACAGATTCTGGATATATCCCTTTTTGATTTGTCAGCATTAAATTTCAGTAGAGGTTCAAGCCAAAGAGAGACCAAGACTAGTTCTGTCTTCAACTGTGTATTAGGAGATAATTTCTCTGAATCCTCTGCAGTAATGATCCTCAGATCTTCTCATCTTTCTGTAAGCAAGTTTTCCTGGGAACCTGGATTTAAACTATGGCACAAACCTTGCTTGCGTCTGGGTCCTTTCTTAAGGAGGAGTATCTAAATACTCTTATTCTGTGAGCCCTGAAATGGACCTTTTTTCCCTTTCCTTAGGTCTTTTTCAAAGAGGCAAACCTTCAAGTGAGTTCTTTCACCCTCCCTTGGATTTCTGGGGCAGGAGGTTTTACTTATGGAGTATACAGTACTTTAGATGAGGATTGCAAACTTCAGGGGGTTAGACAGTTTTCACTACCTGCAGTACATTGGAATCTCAGTTATAGTTGACTTTACTCCTGGGTGACTTTCTTTCCCCCCCGTTTTTTTAGGTAAACCCTTGTTCTAGCATTTGCATGTGGCTTGTTTGGGCACGGAGAAGTCTCTCAAATTCCTCATCACAGGGGCAAGTATAGCTCTGTTCCCCCTTTGTAGTCAGATTTTTCTGCTGGAGGTTTAGATTTTCTGCAGAACATGGTTCTGCAGAAATGATTTSTAGTCACTGTTCCTTGAACATAACACACTGCTTGATTATTAATRTGTAAAGGAGATCTTGGAAAGGGTTTTGCTTTTCAGTTGTGTGTTTTTGAACAGTGAAACAGCACATCTGTTCTGCGAGGCTGTGTGCCTGGTTGGAGGATATGGGCTCACTTCTGCCAAGTGCACGATATCCTTGCTCAGCACACAGAAATGTTTCTTATTTAGACTGTTTTCATTATTATGGTCGTTACTTACCCATTTATAAGCAAAGCTCTTTTTGTGAGGCACTTTCTCCTGCTTTTCCATAGGAGAAAGGAAACCTCTCTACCCTTGCAGAAAAGCCAAGATCATCGACAAATCTCTCTAGCAAAAAATGACAGGATTTTTTGAGTTTGAGATTCCAGGAAAAAGGGGTAGTAGGAAGCGGTTACTCCCAAACCTTTCAGATATTCTTTTTTTTTAAACATCGTGAAGGAAGAAGGGGCATTATATGTAGGCTACTGCCTTTAAGAGCAGTCATGGAGAGACCTGCGATCATGTTAAATTATATTCAAAGGCAGCTTCTGTTTCATTAATGCAAAGCTGGCAAACAGAAATTTGGAGGACTGGTTCTAGTTTATGGCATATCACATACATCAAAGGTCAGCCTTCTATTCTCCTGTACATTGGTTTTTAGAGCTCAATATACAGAAGCACAATCAAGAAGAAAGGCTTGCATCTCAGCTGCCACTCCCAATTCCTTACCCATCTTGATTTCTTAATCAGAAAATTAATTGGGCCTTGGAATCTTAWTTTTTCTTAAATCTCTTCAGATTTAATCAGTGTGTTCTGCTGGAAGCAATCTTTCACTTAAGATTTCATAGCAATGTAGCTTGAGAAATCATGTCATTTCCTGCATGAAATACATCAAAGTTATGTGTGTTGGGTTTTTTTTAACTTGGTCCCATGCTTCAGTTTTGGTCTCTTTGCTCTAAGGAAAGAGTGTGTTTTATTTCTTCTTTCTACTGGGGGGGGGGG